CACCTAATCAGCTGGTATATGTTGATGATTTGCCCACAGTGGCCGAGATGATATGGTGGGATACCCTCAGAGGCTTGATGGTGTTATGAACAGATATACCCATGCATGGTATAATATTTATATGCATATGCATGGCGTTGTAAAAGTAAAATGATTTACAGAGCATTGTAAACGTACATGTCGAGTCTTTTACTCTATGTCTCTTTCATGTCTATTATTTACCGATTTGCATTCCTTACATACTCGGTACATTATTTGTACTAACGTCCCTTTTGCCCGGGGACACCGCGTTTCATGCCTGCAGGTCCCGATCGACAGGTCGAGAGCCCTCCAAGTAGGCTATCAGCTCAGCAGAAGATGTTGGTGCGCTCCATTTGCTTCGGAGTTGCTTGTTTGGTTAGTATGATTTAGATGTGTATTCTTAGAGGCTTGTAGACAAATATCATGTACGTAAAAGTTTGTGTGGCCTTGTCGGCCTCTGTTCAGTATACAAGTGGTTATTTTGGCCTTATAGGCCCGTACGTCATATGTATAAGTTTGAATTACATGTTGGATCGTCGAATGTCGAGTATTTCTCTATATTTTATTGTACTTATCTCATGACAGCCTCTCTGGCTCATTTAACTATGATAGTATGAAATGAAAGATACGTTAGGTAGGTACTATGTTGAGTAAGGTACCGGGTGCCCGCTGCGGCCCATCGGTTTGGATCGTGACACGTACATTAATATGGGCTATTATTGCAAAGATGTGCAATTTAGCCTTAAAAATACAAATGTAATTATAAAAATGCACTAAAAAATATTTAAACATTATGTAGGTATAAATTATAAATTTTATATGATTAAATCATCATAAAAATAATTTGAAGGATAACTATTGGATATTTATATATAATAAAAGTGTAAGAATAAATTGGTTTAAAGCCTTTAAAAATTATAAAAAATTATGAAAAATATTTATGTATGCTTATAAATCAAATGATGATGCATATGCACTAATTTGAAAGTATATGTATATATATTTAAAATATGAGGGAAAAATTGGGTATCAACAGTGTTCACCGCGTTCGCAAGTGGGCCCTCACGTTTGCGTAGAAGGTTTTTGGGGAGAAGCATTCTTTGTGCTTCGCGAAACGCGAGGAAGTTTCCGCATTCGCGAAGAAGAAATACCTGGGCAGAACTTAAAATTTCAAATCGAGGGTTTTCTCCCATTTTCATTTTGGGACCTTGAGAGCTCGGATTTAGGCGAAAATTTGAGGGATTTTCAAAGGAAACAGTTAGGTAAGGATTCTTGGCTTTTTTTTGATTAATATCCACTAACCCATCGTTAATTTCATCATTTAATTAAGGATTTGAGTTGAGAAATTTGGGAAAAAAGTTGAAAAGTTCGTAAACCGAATTTTGGGATTTTGATTGAGATTTTGGTATCGAATTTGAGTAATTTTGGTATGGGTGAAGTCGTGGTTGAATGGGTGTTCATAGTTTGTGACTTTTACCCGGTTCAGAGACATGAGCTCGGGTCGACTTTTTGGGGTGAATTTCTAAATTCTTGTTAAATTCTTGATTTTATAATTAAATTAGTTTCTTATAGTTATATTTATGGTATGTAATTGCTTTTGGCTAGAATTGGGCCATTAGGAGTCGGAAAGTCAAGGAAAAGGCATTCTTATTGACTGATTGAGCTTGGCTTGAGGTAAGTGGCTTGCCTAACCTTGTATAGGGAAAATCCCCTTAGGATTTGGTATTGTTTTAACAATTTGTGATATGTGAGCGCCGTGTACGCGAGGTGACGAGTGCGTACACGGGCTAAATGTTGAAAAACCCGGTTCTTGCTACGATATGTGTAACATGCTTAACTGGATTACCTTTTTTTCCTTGATTTTTGTTCAATCTTTAACTGTAGGATTTCTTGTTGTAAATTCATTGTTCCTTAAGTTATGAGTTGTGTATTTACTTTTGGGACTATGAGCCGGTAGCTCTGGAGATCCCCTGTTGCATATTTACTTTTGGGACTATGAGGCGGTACCTCGGGAGTTTTCCCGTTGCATATTTACTTTTGGGACTACGAGGCGGTACCTTGGGAGTTTTTCCGTTGCATAATTACTTTTGGGACTACGAAGCGGTACCTCGGGAGATCCCCTGTTGAGTATTTACTTTTGGGACCGCGAGGCAGTACCTCGGGAACGCCCTTGTTGTTATCTCTATGTGCTGTGTTGTTATCTCTCTGTAACTTCTTATTTTTAAATTCTCCATCTTTTTATTATATTGATATATCTTCTGCCTTAATTATTATATTCCAGTAGGGTCCTGACTTGACCTCGTCACTACTCTACCGAGGTTAGGCTTGGCACTTACTGGGTACCATTTTGTGTACTCATGCTACTAATCTAAATATATTTTGTGTGCAGACCCAGGTACCTCCTACCAGCCCTGCTATTAGTTTAGAGTACGTGCTGCTGCTATGGAGACTTCAAGGTATATCTGCCAGCGTCCGCAGACCTCGGAGTCTCCCTCTATCCTTTTATGTTGTTCTTCTTTATTTTTCCCTAGTGCTGATGCATAGAGACAGTTAGATCAATGCCTTAGAGCTTGTGACTACCGGGTCTTTGGGAGTTGTTTATACTCGGAGTTGTTGGTTTTACTTGTACATGCCGAGCGGCAATTTTCCGGCTTTATCTATATATATATTTGTTGATGTTGAGGTTTAGTTGTTAATTCTGCTGTTATTTTAGTTATTCTGCAGCTGTTAGGCTTACCTAGTCTTAGAGACTAGGTGCCGTCACGACATCTTACGGAAGGAGATTTGGGTCGTGACAATTTTACTAAAAAATCAGTCGAAATACATTGATTTAAAGTTTTATGAATTGTAAAAAATTGATGATTTGATCACTGAAACGAGCAATAGAAGAGATCCACTACACGACAACACCTTGGATCCGGTGTTAGCTCGCTAAAATACGGAGGGGATGTAATTTTTGGGGGACTGGTGGGCTTCAATGGAGATTTTTGCTTAAAAATGGGGGGCGGGGGCCGGGGCGGGGCGGGGGGAGGGGGACCGTTTAAAAGTATTTTTTCGAGGAAGATGGCTGGGCCATTTTTATATAAGTATAGCGCATATATGGGATGTGCTATACCTACCTGTCTTTTCAACTTCAGGTATAGCGCATCTCGTATATGCGCTATACTTATATTTTGAATGCCATTTAGAATTCAAATATAACACATGTATGGCATGCGCTATACCTTAAAGGACAAACGTGCCGTTAAGTATAGCGCATACAACCCATGCGTTATACATAAATTAGTGATTAGTTGGGTTTTTCACCTATTTTTGTGTTTTGAGTCCAAAAAAATAATACTTTAGTTCCGGACTCTCTATTAAGATGGTGGTTGCCTTGGGACCAACAATCCTACATAAAGCATTCCATTCATAACTGTCTTAGGGTAAATCAGGTAGGTTGATCTAAGAAATATTAAAGGTCTCGGTATTAGGTTTGAATTTCCAGTCCATTTCATGATTTTCGTATTGTTCTCCCCTTCAAAGTGAATAATTTGGAATAGATGGTATTTTAATCCTCTTAGTTAATGAAAAACATGTTTGAGATCTTTTACTAGTATTTTTACATTGCCTTGCTGAGTAATAACTTTGATGAATTCACTCCCTTTGCATTAAGAAATTTACTGATTATATAGTCTATCAGCAAGTGAATGCGAGCATGTTGTCCTCCTCCTTAATGAAGACCTCAAGAGCTTTGCCTTTATGTAGTCTAGGAGGAAGCTGAACTTTTTTCTTGTATGAATTTATTGTTGCACTTCCCAGCACCTCATCATATGAAGATTGTTGGTTAAAGTTGGTAGCTATGTCAATTTCTTTTGCTCCCATACTAATTTGAGGGGCTTTTGAATTTGTGTGGTTTGTATCTCATTATTGACTAGATCTGGGGGGGGGGGGGGCAGGAAGGGGCCCTGATAATTTTAATTTAGAGATTCACGTGCACATACACTAGCTTAATTAGCCATTATCGGTGACTTATAGCCGTTTGAAGAAAAGTAAAGGAAAGTAAAGTTAGAGAGAGGTCAAACTTTCTCTCTCTTTCCGAGTCTACACCAGAGTTCCTGGTAAGATGCATTTCTTACCGAAGAACAAAGAATACCTCAAGCAATATGACTTTTCATCTTGTTGAAAAAAGCCTAGGCTTGAGGTATCACTTAAATATCAGAATTTAACACATACCAATGGCCCATAAAAAAAATTTGATGCTTCAAAATTTCGTGAAGACGAATTAATGCTGCAGTAATTAGTTTGTATCAAAAGACAATACTGAGAAAACGACATGGGAGTATCTATTTCTAGTCATATATATAAATATCAGATATAAATCTGATACACATGTAAGAATCTAGCTAGAATTTACCCACAAATAAGTATAATATAAAGAATTAATTGGAGAAAAAACTTACCGCAACTGAAAGCTTAGACTAGAAATAATTAGACGAAACAAACAACCTTCGCAAGAAATTCTCAAAATGAATAAACTTTGAAAGAAATGCTATGACAGAATGTAGGAGAAACAAAAGATGAATGAGAAAAGAAAAAACATTGAAACATTAAAATGCTAGTAGAATTCCTACATTTAACCATTCTTCGAGCCAAGATTGCGATCGATTCCGTTCGAATCTAATCATTTATGATTACATAAAGATAATTTATTTAAGCCGCAACATGCTCACCAATGTTCTTCTTCAAGAGCAAAATGTGAAAAATGGATATTCCTGAAAATACTATTTGTCAAGAAACTTTCACTTATTATATAATTAATCAAATTTAAAAAGGAAATAGTACTAGTACAATAACTTTTTTAGACGAATTTTGAAAGCAAAAGAGAATTGCATAATTTGAAACTATCGAGGGGTCATATCCGTAAAGGAAAAATCTTATGGGAAGAAAGTATAATTAAACTCAAACCCAACGAAAGCCGCTCCCTAGACAAATAGACACAACCAATTTAGAGAGCATTTGCGTGACCAAAAAGAAAAAGCCTACTGAGAACGAGAGACTTTCAACATTGAACAAATAATTAAACGGCAGTGGGTCTGGAATTTCAGTTGCTGATTCTTTCCTTAATCCTATTCTTTCCAGTTTCTTCCAAGTAAGCCTAATTTCTTTCTTTTATCTTTTAAAGTTTTTACTTTGTGGTTTGTTTTTAGAAAGGAAGTTCACCCATTTGTTTAATTTATAAAATTTTCTTAGACTGAAGCTTATGAATGTCCAAGTGGAACCGATGATTTACATACGGCGGAAGTGGTGGAGTTTATAAGAAAAAAAACACTTATGTTAATATGTGAGAAAAAGTGAAATTTGTAAAGTTACTGGTTTATTCGAATTGGTAATGTATCAAATTGACTTGAAGTGTTTGTTTTTTCTTACATATATGTTATTGTATTGGCATTTGCAACGGAGCTGCCCAAAAAATAATGCTATTTTTTCTGCTTAAGAAAGTTATTGGAAGAAAATGTTTGTGTTAAATGGTGTTCTAGTTTTTGCATATCCCGCTGAAAAAGCTAAATCCTCACATAAAAAATTAAAACGACTGTAGTAATTCATTGCCAAATTTTATGTAATGATGGAATCCAATGTTATTTCAGTTGGGGAATTTTACTTTTGTGGCCTTGGAAGTCGCTTCCAGCTCAAAATGGGCAGACTGAGGTGGACAGGGGTTTCCCCAAAATCTATCATGCGAATTGCTGCGGTAATATTTCTGAAAACTACAGCAACATTGTTCGGTATTTAAGGAAGTGGTAATATTGTGTCTAAACGCTTTTCTTCATTTCCAGTCATGGCGCACAGTTTCTGCAGATTCGATGATTGATAAAGGAAACGTGCGTGCACATGTTTCAGAATATCTACCCTCGTTACTTCAAAGTCGCTGTAAGAGGCTTAACTTTAACTGTAACATGTGAAGATTGAACTCTTTTCTATGCATCAAACTTTGCAATTTTAAGGATTCTTCGTCATGAGCTACTTTTTATGAATTGAGCTCGACTTTGTGCCTTAGTTGTTAGTTAGGTTAATTTGGAATTGATTATGGTGTGAAACATTACATGAACTTAAACTATATTTTCTGGATGGTGCTGATTCCAGGTCACTCTATTTTTTGTTTTTTGTTTTCATGAAAGCATATTTTATTGATGTCTTGGGAATATCCCCGAATACAAGAAGTATAACAAAAGACAACAATATGGTTCTCTATAATAGAAAGCCAATCATCTATACCCTCAGGGACTTTCTGGGTGCTCCAAAAGTTAAAGCAAAATAAAAAAATAAAAAATGAAAGACAAGGCGTAAACTGTACTAAGTCATGTCCCCNGTTTTCCAATTATTGATTCAATCCGTTTAACCCGTCCAAACTTAGCCCAGCTCGCTCATTTACCGCCCTTAGCTTAAACCTCTAATTATTTGAAAAAATGACATTGAATAGCCGCTGTAAAAATAATAACCGAAAAAATGTAGACACAACTCAATCTGTATTACTCGAGTCATACCACCCTTAAATTGCAATTGATTTCTCCAAGGTTGCCCAGATTTTCAGGTTAATGATGAAATTGCCCCTGACGGCGTATTAAAAACCTGCACTATTTGCAAATCTTAAAACCTACCTATCTCCTTCATTATAAGGTCAAATTGAGTGATTCAAAAGCCTAAATTCATTAGAATTTCACAAGGAATCCATTGGGAGTAGTAAAACGCGTGAACAGTATAGTATACCTATAATGAGCAGATCGAGTTTTCTTCCAATTTTTGAACGGGAAGAAGCTTCTGAGGCGATTTTTGAGAGAGAAAATCAGTGGGTATCACAGAGGTAAGTGATTTCATTATTGAAACTTGTTTATGGGTGATTATAGACCATAATCCCAGCCTTTAATTCATGAAAAACAATAGAAAAATAGGATTTTGGGGCCTCAGATTGAGAGACCTTTAGCGGTCGTTTTGAGGGGTCAAACGAACTCCGATTTTTGTGTTCTTTATATGTACGGAATCGGGAGAAGATGAAGAACACTTTTCTGTAAAAATTTCTGAGTTTCGAGAAGTGGGCCTGGGGCTCGGGTTTTGTCAATTTCGGGATTATTGATGTTTTCCAATTATTTTCGATTGGGTATTGATCCTATAGCATAATGTGGCGTATTCATTGTGGTTTTGGTCAGATTCGACGCGCGAGGAGGTCGATTTGAGAGGCAAGGGCATAGCGAGCTAGGATTTTGGCCGGCTTGAGGTTAGTAATAGATGTAAATGCTGTGTTGAGGGTTTGAAACCCCGAATTTGCACATTGTAATGCTATAATGAGGTGACTTGCACGCCGGATAACGGGCGTGGGGTAGAGCACCGTCGGGGATCGTGACTTGGTCCATCCCGCTTAATAAAATTACTACCTAATTGATTGAAGCTTAGTGAGATCCTTATAAAAATGGATTAATTGTCATAATTTGGCCTCGTGCCAACTGATTGAATTCTTCAGGGATTGTTTTTACTGGTTTCTTACCATATTTTCAGACAATTGAACTCAGTCCTAGTATTTAGTACTGTTTTGCAAACTAAGCCACTTTTTCTCAAAACTTGGAACTTAAATAATATTTCTAATGAAGTTTGGGCCAAATATTTCTATATTATTGTGCCCGAGGGGCTTATATGATTCTGGACTGAGTATGGGATCGGGTTGCGCGCCGCAGCAGTATTATATTGATATTGATATGAGGCTTAAGGCCTAATGGATGCCACGAGATGGCTTGATATTGCGCTTGGGCCGTAAGGGGCCCCTCCCGGAGTCTGCACACCCCCGGTGAGCGCCGTCGACGATAAATAAATGGAGCGGGCTGCACGCCGCAGCGGGTACTAGAGAGTACCGTACTATTTGTTGCATGTCTTAATTGATTGTCATTCATTTACTTATCTGTTGCAGCATCATTGTTTTCATTGGTTTATTGAGTTGACATTATCTGGATTAAACTGCTGTAATTATATCTTACATTGTGCCTATCCAGGATTTCTTACTCTCAACCCTTATTTATGTTTATTACTCTCGGGGTTGGAAGTACTCACATTACTCCCTGCACCTTGTGTGCAGATCTATGTGCACCCACTGAGGCTGAGTGAGGATTTCTCTGCCGAGCATCATATCTGGGAGCACCAAGGTAGCTGCATGACGTCCGCAGTCCTGATCTTCCCATCTAACCTATTTGCTTTATTTCCGCATTTCTTTAGAGTAATATGTAGTAGGTTGACACCCGTGTATTAGAGGCTCAGACTTGTGACACCGGATTCTTCGGGCTGTGTAGTAGTAGTAGTATTTCTACTTGGGTTTTCCGCATGTTTTAACTATATTTCAGAGTTTCAGTATTATGACTTAGTAATTATTTGTGTTAATTGAATCATGAACTGCATAAAAAGGGTTAAGGTTGTTAAATTGGTCGGGCTTGCCTAGCAGTGTGTTGGGCGCCATCACGACCGGGGTTGGAGTCGTGACATTAGGGCACCTAGAGCAAATAACTCATGTTACCAGTTTACATCACCAGAGATCGGGTAAGGGCTCGAAATTACCTCGAGGGGAAGGTGTAAGGCACCCCTCAAGGTCCACAATGGTGGGTCCCGGCTAAACTTAACTTATGAATTAGTCTAATAAAGAAGCTAGCGGATTATTTAATAGGGATGGGGGGTCCTAATTTTTTAGCCTAAAGGATCAGCCCGTGCAACATAAATAATACTTCGTAACTTCCTCGAGTCGGGGTGTTACTCATATTATTCAGCGGGCACAGAGTATCATCTCCTGCTACCCAATTACTATCTTTGAGTTTTTACTTAAATCGCTCCAATCAATTCTAACTTGTACCATATGCGTACACTACCCGGCCCTTACCTATGGTCTCGGAGGCATTGGGACCTCTATTTGGGATGGTCCTAGACTCAGCTTAGGTTGCTCAAAATTGGAAAACTAAGCAACATACAAAACACATTGGACTTTTCATGCAAGAGTAGATAAAGGCTCAACTTAGCCTCCGCACATAAGTTAGGGAACGCACACAAAACACATTGGCATATTGAGAGTTTAATCAACTAAGGGTATTAGATCCTATTGACATAATTTTTACGTGATTTTGGATTTTAAACACGCTGACAGTAACTTCTGAGTGATCCTGTAATTGACTACTGATTTTGATTAGAGCATTTGAACCTACAGGCAAGTTATCCAAGTGACAATTGATAACAGAAAAGCTCAGAATTATTACTTGTTCTTATAGGCATGCTTTCTAGTGATAGTTGGCAAATCATTCATGCAGAATTCCCGTTTTAACATTTGACAGAAATAGCTATTATCCCCATGAGCGTGAGTTCTATCTTTGGTGATTGCCTCGTAAGGATATGCATATTAGCTAAGCGATCATAAAAATTGATTAAGCCTATAGACATGATTTCCAAGCGAACGAGTCTGAATTTTATTAGTGTATTTCCTATTGACATGGTATCTAGGTGCCGTGGTGTGAGACATGAAGAATGTTCAAAATTACTTGTTTTGATCCTATAGGCATGATATCTAATAAAACATGAATCAGAACATATTGAACGAATTAAATCCTATAGGCAGGTTATCTAACATACAGTAGCAGAACTTATTGAATGAAATAAACACCTATAGGCATGTTATCTACTGAACAAATAAACCTATAGGCAGGATATCTAACATACAGTAGCAGAAAATATTTGAAAGGAACAGACACCTATAGGCAGGTTTTGTACCCATTCTCATTAAAACTAAGCCTAGTTTTCCCAATTCACTATTGCCCCAATTGTTATTACAAATACTTATTACAGACCATAATCGAATGAATAAATTACAAAGTATATAACTATAGGAAGCCTGCAGCAGGCCTAAATGCACCTGGATAGCCTAGGCCTTCGACCCGTAACAGCTCCAAGACTCACTTTCACAGGTACACACTAATCAATGGTGAATGATTCACCCATAGCACATAGAACCCAGATCTCTAGTGTGTCAAAGTTCCCAAGGGCTTCAAGAGCCCAGGGCAATGCTCACACTAAAGAACGAATACTAAGAAACAATTTAGAGGAGATTGGAAACCAAACCCCAGTGTGTCAGAGTTCACAAGAGTCTCACATAAACCCCGAGTATTGCTCACACTGAGGAGGTGAAGGAGAGAACTAAAGGATCTAAGAATAAGAGGTTTTAAATATCAGCATATAAAAGGGAGTAGGGGCAGATTTCAAAACAGTTTGAAGAAACAAGGTTTAGAACACATGATTTGTATTCAGAAAACAACAAAGTTTGCAGAGTACATAGTTTCAAACACGTTAGTTCAGAAGAGAGACTCAATTACACTATGGGAGCATGCTGACACTTAAGACAACCAGTGTTTAATCACAAAAATAACTTAGGCAAAGCAGTCAGATCATCGCATGACATATTAACAGACAGGGCACATGAGCAATAAATTAGGACAAATCAACTAATTACATGCTTGTAGTATCCTAAGAATGCAAGGTTCAAACAGGTGCAGGATTAACAAACAGTGTGCCCAGACAAATTTGAACATCAAGCCATCTTATAAGAGGATTCAAAATAGCTAATCTTATACTGACAGTATTAACCATAAGATTAGAAGAAAGCCATAGGAGCATAAAAAGTAGAATCATGCTAAAAGTAAGGTTCAAGACATGCTGTTCAAGTAACACTAATTATAAAAAAAACATGGAGAATGAAACGACAAGGGATTAGGGCTTACCAGTTAAGCAAGAAAGCAAGTAGATATGCTACAACAGTTAAGTTCCAGAATCACTTGGCCTTGGCTTTCAGCCTGCCAAGACCAGAAACAATGAGCACAGAATTAGAGTAGAAGAACTAAGTTTTAGTGAGAGTATGAGAGTTTGAGTATGTCCTAAAGGGAAGAGGGGAAAAGGTTTAAATAGTGTTCAATTAGGCAAACAAATAAGGGAATAAATCAAACATCCACAAGTAAGGAAAAAAAATAAATCGGGATTCAATTGAAGTTAGAGTTCAATGAATTAATGAGTAATCAGGCAAGTACTACTTAGAATAAGGCAAATATCAATTAACGGTCAGTCTAATGGCAAATAAAGCAAGCAATAATAGAAGCATGGTAGATTGACTGGAAATAAGGAAAGTATCAATACCATACGAGAAAGGAAAGAGTAAAAGTCTCAAACCCTAGTTTTAGGTAAAATATACAAAATCGGCAATAATAACA